GACTCAAGGTTTTATGTGTATGATGGAAAAACTCATCAGTTGTGTAGTCCCCAGTCAGATGGAAGGGTCAGTTGCCATTTGAAATCTGTCTTCTCAGGGCTGGGATGTAACTTGCCTCGCATATGTAAGGCCCTGGTTCAATCTCCAGCACTGGAAACAAAAGTACTTTAAGGGCTGGGGCGATGGGATGGCTGGGGCGATGGGATGGCTCAGTTGATAAGGCACTTGCTGCACAAACACAAGGACCTGAATTTGGTCCCAGAACCTACGTATAAACAAACAAGCAGGGCTGGAGGGATGGCTCAGTGGCTAAGAGCACTGGCCACTCTTGCAGAGGACCTGGGTTCAGTTCCGAGCACCCACAGGGTGGTTAACAACTGTATTCCATGACCTGGGTACACTTATATACATGCAAGTAAAACACTCATACACATAAAAATAAATAAAATCTAAAAATTCAAACATACAAAAAAGCTGGGTGTGGTTATGAGTGGTAGTAATCCCAGTTTTGGTGAGGCAGAGACAGTGGATCTCTGGGTCTCACTGGCCAGCCTAGCCTACTTGGTGAATTCAGGTTAGTGAAAGGCCCTGTCTCAAATAAACAATAACACAGACCCACCAAAAGGGAAGGCTCCCGAAGATCACACCCGTGGTTGTCCTCTGACCTCCATAAGCATTTGCACATATGTATATGCATATCTGCAAACACACATGAACACGCATGCACATGTGCACGCAAAATGTATTAAATAAAAGCTGTCTTTTCCAGGAGAATAGTAGGGGCGCCCCATCTCATTGTTCTAATTCAGGGACCTGCCCCTGGGAGAAGGGCCATAGAGGAAACATTCAAGAGAGCCAAGAGTTTGGAGGAGACAGGTGAACTTGACCAGGTTTAAAAAAATATATTTTATTTATTTATTTTTATTTTATGTGTATTGCCTGCATGTATGTGAGTGCACCGAGTTGTGCAGTGCCACAGAGGAAGGTCAGAAGAGGATCCCCCTGGAACTGGAGTTAAGGTCGGCTCATAGCCGCCATGTGGGTGCTGGGTGCTTTTAACCGCTGAGCCATCTCTCTGGCTCCTTGACCAGGTTTTTTGCCAAGAGCTTCAGGGCTGCCCTGGGGTTTGCCCCAGAGGTGGCTGAGGGTGGAGGCTCGGGTTTCCTGTCTCCAGAAGGAGCTCTTACAGCTGGACAGGAAACGAAGTTTAAGAAGCTTCAGGGGAGCCGGTGGAAGGATTTTCCAGAGCCCTGGCCTCTAAGGCAGAAGCCACAAGACAGCTGTGCACGCGCTCTGTGCTTTCTTCCTTCCCCTTCCTTCCCCACAGCCCTGCCTCTGCCACCTGTGTCCTCCCACCTCCGGAGTGACAGGGCAGCCCACGGGTTTATGCACTGTCTTCCTAGGTGACGTCCCTTTCAGGGACGGAGGCGGTTGTGTAGTCATGGTCTTTGGAAGGGCACGGGGCGGAGGGCGGGGGGAGGCCGGGCTTGTATCCCGGGAATGCTGTAGTTATTCCCTGCACACCTCAGGAAATCACCTACAGACCGGCTGCTTCACACAAAAAGAAAGTCCAAAGAGACTCCGCGTTGAAGCCCAAGGCAGGATGAGGCTTACCTAGCAACTGATGATGCTGCGTTGAGACACTCTGGGATTTGTCTATGCATCAGTCCCCGCCTACCTAGCAAATCCGACCACTCGCCCTGCAGCAGGACACCCGACTTGGTTGAGTTGGTAGGTGTAGGTTTAGAAGCTGAGTAACCCCGTGTCACTCCTGCAGCGAGGATCAAGGGACCTTCTTAACACCGCATTCCCCCCAGCGGGTGGGGATCGGCTATTCAGGCTGGGGCAGGAGAGGACCCGAGGCTCCTGCAAGAGCTGGTCCGGGGGCCCGAACTCCCTGCACCTTCACAGACCAGAGCATGGCTACACTCCTGCCACTGCTCCTGGGCCTCGGCCTGGGCTGCACAGGAGCAGGTAAGGACGTCCCTTCCTGGGACCTTTTCTTTAGCTGCTCCTGTTTTACACCACAGACGAGCTGTTTTCCTACCACGATAGTCCTGTAGCCCTTGGCACTGTATTTGGCAGGAATTTTAATAGCGGTCAGTCTGTGCAGTTATTTGTGTAATGTGTGTTACTTGCTGGGATGCGGGCAGGGACTGAGTCCTGCTGCATTCTGGTTCCTGGCGCGGTGCCTGGCATGCGACAAGTGCTTCATGAACTTGTATGGAGGAAATAGTCTAGACTCTTCCAGCACAGAGCAAGGTTGACTCTTTCTTTTTACCCCTTCACTTCCCCTTTCTCTTCTCGTTCCCTCCTTCCCTCCCTCCGTCCCTCCCTCCCTCCCTTCCCTCTCTCCCTTCCCTCCCTCCCTTCCCTCCCTCCCTTCCTTCCTTCTTCTTTCTTCCATCGGAGACAGAATCATACTACATATCCAAGGCCTCAAACTCATGGCAATCCTTCTGCCTCAGCCTCCCCGTTCCTGGGAGTATACATGTGTACCACAACATTGGCAATTAGCCCTTCACCTCCCTCTCAACCCTCTGCCTTCCTGAAGACATGCATTTGCAGTAAAGTGTCGTGCTTGGACTTTCAGGTAATCTCAGGTTGTGCCTGTCCCAGGACTTAGCTTCACATGAAGAGGAATGGTGTTGACGGTTCACAGTGTTGTGCTCGTAAACCTCTGCCTGTGTTCCAAAGCTGGATGCTTCTGATGAATATGAAAGTCAACCGGATTCTATTGTCCTTTGGTAGAAAAGGGAATTGGCTTTAAAAAAAAGTCTTTTCTGTTTTGTTTATTTAATTTGCTCAAGAAAACTTGAGAGAGTAGGTCCTTTGCATGTCATTACAACTTAACACCACTGGCGATGAAATTCGAATGACTGAATTTATTAGTAAATCAGTTTCTAGATTGAAAAAGAAAAGGAGGAAACTGGATCTAAACCTTCTCTGTTACTATTTCCCCTTCTCTCTCTCCCCTCACTGAGATCCTCTGAGCGCCTGGAAGGTGAGGGTGGTCAGGAGATGCTGCCCGAGGTGGGAAAGTCTCTGCCAGACTCTGCCGGAGTGTAACAGAAGCTTGGGACAGGAAACTACAACTTCTTCTACCTGTGTGTCCATATTTAACACTTCCATGACCAGATGGGTGCAATGCTCCTATGCTGGTTAGAAACCCTACAGTCCAATTCACTGATGCTGCCGACTGAAGTCAATGCAAATCACACAGGCTCAGTCCCACAAGACTGGCCCCATATCAGACACCAATTGCAAGTTGCAGATGCCAGGGTTACCCACAGCATCTGCCTATCTTGGCTACAGAACAGAACTCCTTGGCTTGGATAATTTCTAGTGATGTCATAGAAGATAGTTTATGGCTCATTTATTGCAAGGATTTTAAAAATAATTAGAATTTTTTTATTTTTAATGTATGTGCCTCCGTGTATATGTACCACGTACATGCAGTGCCTATGGAGGCCAGAAGAGGGTGTTGCATTCCCTGGAACTGGAGTTACAGGCAGTTCTAAGATGCCATACTGGTGCTGGGAACCAAGCCCTGGTCCTCTGCAAGGGCTGTTAGTACTTTTAATTGCTAAGCTTTCTTCAGCCCCAAAAGGGCTATTTTTGAAGGATACAGATGAAGGAGTTTGTGGGATGAAGTCCAGATAGGCCTCAGGTGCGGGAGCCCTTTGCTTCCCCAGATTTGGGGCATTTCACCGCCCCCCTACCCTGCACATGGATGTGTTTTACCAACTGAGAAGATCTCAGAATCCCACAGCTTAGGGACTTTTAGGCTTCATTAGATAGATATGGCTGATTTTTGACTCAGTCTCCAGGTCCCCTCCTCACTGTTCCTTGGAGGATGGATGATGGAGATAAAAGTTCCAGGCTTGCTAGGCATGATGGAAGATTTTTGAAAAAGAAGAGGAGGCTGGAGAGAAGGCTCAGCAGTTAAGAGCACTGGCTGCTCTTGCAGAAGACCCGTGTTTGATTCCCAGAACCTATATGGTGACTGGCAATGTCTGCAACTCCAGTTCCAGGGGTCCGATGCCCTCTTCTGACCTCCTCAGGCATCATACAGCACAGGTGCACTTACACACATTTAGGCAATACACTCATACACATAAAATAAAAATATAAGAAATTAAAATAAGAGGAAACTAGAACTATAAACTTCTCTGTTAAGCAGGGCATGGTGGTACATACCTTTAATCCTAGCAGATCTCTGTGAGTTCAAGGCCAGCCTGGTCTACAGAGTGAGTTCCATGCCAGCTAAGGCTACATAGCAAGATCCTATCTCAAAACAAGCAAGCAAGCAAACAAACATGTGACAGGATTCTAACCATGACTTGATCTTTCCAGTAACCAGCCCCATTCCAAGGTTTCACCAAGAGTCACCTCATTAGAACCAAACACAGTGTGGTCACCCAATTCCAAGTAATTTGGAGCTCTGTGTCAGGACCTGAGTTAAAGACCAAATATTAGAACAGAAAACATAACTACTTTCCTACCCTCATCACTGAAGAAATTACAAGGGTTTTAGGAACTGCCAGACCTAAGGGCAGAGACCGTATTTTAAGTGTGTTGTACTGACAAGCAGATGCTGATCTTCCCTCCCTTTTCTGGCTCCTCCAGGTGGCTTTGTGGCTCATGTAGAAAGCACCTGTCTGCTGGATGACAATGGGACTCCAAAGGACTTCACATACTGTGTCTCCTTCAACAAAGATCTGCTGTCCTGCTGGGATCCAGAGGAAGGACAAATAGTCCCTTGTGAATTTGGGACACTGTATATGTTGGCCAAATTAATTTCGGATAACCTTAACCAAAATGACAACCTGCTTCAGCGTTTGAGGAATGGGCTCCAGGATTGTGCCACACACACCCAGCCCTTCTGGGGGTCACTGACCCACAGAACACGTAAGGAGAGAGGATGCAGAGGGCTTCTAGGGAAGCACAGTCAGGACAGCAGGGAAATGCCTCAGCTGTCAAGAGGGTTGACATCTGAGTAGGAGGGAAGCAGAAAGTGTGTGGTCCTGGAATACAGAAGGGTGCTGAGCATCAACAGGAACAGGGTGGAGCAGGTATACAGAAGATGTGGCATTAAGATAATAAGCAGAAGTCAGGGTCTCACTAAATTGCCCAAGTTGGCCATGAACTCACTCTGTAGCCCAGGCAGACCTTGTGCTTGTCATCGTCCTGCCTCAGACTCTCAGTTTTCTGGGATTACAGCTTGGGTCACCAGCCTCCCTTGCTCCCCGTTCTTTATCTTGAATTTTGATATTCTGTGTTTGGAGCGGGCCTCAGGGATGGGGATATTTGCAAATGTTTCCAGGGATTCTGATGTAGTCTGATGTCCTCTCTCTCTCTCTCTCTCTCTCTCGCTCTCGCTCTCGCTCTTGCTCTCACTCTCTCTGAATCCTTTGCACTGAGAATGATTTAAAGCTTGTAAAAGTCGACCTTGAAGATCTCCATAGGGCAGAGCACTGTGTCTGAAAGTTTCTGAATCACGCTTCTCAGAATTACCAGGTCAAGGTGCTTATTAAAGTGCAAGACTCTGGGTACCACTTGATACAGGGAGAAACTGGGGATGAAGTCTAGGGAATCTGTATTTTAACATAATTTCTTGTATTTTAAATTAAGATTTAATTTAAAGTATTCAGGTGGCAACAAACAGGAGAGTCACCCAAGAGAGTAAACTAGTAAAAAATGGCTGTTTTAATAATCTCATTACCAGGCGCAGTGGTGCACACACTTGTAATCCCAGCACCTGGGAGGTAGAGGCAAGAGATCAGGAGTCAAAGTTATCCTCAGTGAAGTGGAGGCCAGCCTGGGCTACTTGGGATCCCGTCTCAAAAATCAACCAACCAGCCAGGTGTGGTGGTGCACGCCTTTAATCTCAGCACTCAGGAGGCAGAGGCAGGCAGGTCTCTGTAAGACTGAGGCCAGCCTAGTCTATATAGGTGAGCTGGGGTTGCAGGAAGACCCTGTCTCAAAACAAACAAATCTGAACAAACAGACAAACAAACCAAAATCAAAAAAAAAAAAAGAAAGAAAAAACAAGTCTCATCAACTTGAACTATGTAATTTCAAATTTAAGAAGAGTTAGGTTTTTTCTTTAAACTATTCAAGGAGAAAAGCTTCATTTAGCAAATTAATTTTCTATCAATAAACAAAATTCGTAGAATATTTTTTCTGTCTTTCCAAATCCCACTTGTAATTTTTCTTTAAAGAGTAGTTTTTTTTAATTTTAAATATGTATGAGTGTTTTGCCACATGTGTTCCTGATACTCACAGAGGTCAGAAGATGGTGCTGGATTCCATGGAATTGGAGTTAACAGTGGTTGGGCTGCCAAGTGGGTGCTAGAAACTGAACCCATGTCCTCTGCAAGAGCAGCGAGTGCTCTTAACCACTGAGCCATCTTCCCATGGTTGCAGACTTGCGTGGCCTTGTGCTGTGTGCGCTCAAGTTAGTGTATGTGTATAAACACAGAGGCTAGCCAGACAACTTGTAGCCCAGACCCAGCATTTTCCAACTGGGAAGCAGGACTGTGTTCTACTTCTTTGTCAAGTGGTGGTTGGCAAAACTTACGATAGCGGCTGGTATGATGGCTCAGCGGTTAAGAGCATTGGCTGCTCTTACAGAGGACACGGGTTTAATTTGCAACACCCACCTGGTGGCTAACAACCGTCTGTAACTCCAGTTCCAGGGACCCTGACAGCTTCCCTCTTCTGTGGACACAGGCATGCGTGTGGTGCACTCACATACATGCAGGCAAACACTCATACACATTAAAAAAATAAATAAAAATTAAAAAATCGATGAAGAGTTGAAAGGGGCAGGAAAAAGCTAGACACCCACCTTCCTTTCTGATCATGTTTTCTCCTCCTGATCAGGACCACCATCTGTGCGAGTAGCCCAAACCACTCCTTTTAACACAAGGGAGCCCGTGATGCTTGCTTGCTATGTATGGGGCTTCTATCCGGCGGACGTGACCATCACATGGATGAGGAACGGACACCTCATCGCTCCCCACAGCAGCACTGAGAAGACCGCCCAGCCCAATGGAGACTGGACATATCAGACTGTCTCCTACCTGGCTTTGACCCCCACCTATGGGGACATCTACACCTGTGTGGTGCAGCACAGTGGGACTCCGGAGCCCGTCCGTCAGAACTGGAGTGAGTACAGTGGAGATGGGACGGTGGTGGGTGGAAAGGAACAGCCCAGGGGAGTAAGGTCCGGACGGATGTGGTGGAGAGGGAGATGCTGGTGATGGGGATCGAGGAGCCTGTGGCAGGTTTGTGACGCAGATAAGGTAGCGGGATGGAAGGGGGAAGAGCTGCTTTGCAGCTGTTGGGTGCGTCTGTGTCTGTTGGGGGGAGGGAGGGGAGCACGACTCCCCCCCCCAAAGACAGGATAGGTTGATGACTGCATTTTCAGAACAAAACATTGGAAATCACTTTTAGTTTCTTCATATTTAGCTATTGTGTTATTGGGTCAGCAATGTGAGTTGAAAAAATAATGAAGCTGGGCGTGGTGGCGCACGCCTTGGATCCCAGCACTGGGGAGGCAGAGGCAGGCGGATCTCTGAGTTCAAGGCCGGCCTGGTCTACGAAGTGAGTTCCAGGACAGCTGGGGCTACAGGGAGAGCCTGTCTCAAAAATGACTAAAAAAAAAATTTGAAGAAAAAGGGGCTTGCTCTTGGTGTGGGGGCTGCGCTGAATTCGGGCTGTGCTCTCACGGAGAACCCAGTACTACAGTCATGGCTGCTAGACGTGTTTAGGGGCTAATACATGAACTAGCTGACCCCGTTTGGACCCCAGGACCGGGAGTAGTTAAAAGTAAAGGGAGAAGCTGAGCAAAGAGATCTTCGGGGAAGAAACCAGGAAGAGGAAGGTGACTAGGGAGGGCCGGGGAACAGGAGCCCAATCTGGCCAGGTCTCCCCTGTGGAGGGTTGTGTCTGATACCCGTTCTCGTGGGTGACTGGAAGGGGGATGGGAAACACCCACTACTACCCGGAAGGCAGCTCTCACATCCCCTTGAGCTTTCCAGGACAGACCTCCTTTACGGGGTGCACAAGGAGATTCATTGGTGGACGAGTGCTCATTCGGTCTTGGGGAAAGAATCCAAGTGTGGGACGTGATCCAGAGTAGGACTAGCTCCAGGAGCTGGGATGGGGGCGGGACGGAGGCAATAATGAAGGGGGACATGGGAAATATGGTTGTGGAAGACACCTGTTGTGATAACTCATAACACGGGACGCAGGAGGAACCGAGGAGGTTAGGAACCGAGGAAAGGCGTGTTAATAGGGGGCCGTGTGGGGGTGAACATTACCACCACGGAAGCGAGGAACTCCGGATGCTGGGGAGGTGCCCTGGGGGTGGAGGAAGGACAGAGAATGCTGTGAGTCCCGACCGCATGAGAGAGGAAGTCGAATCTGGGGTGGTAACTCTGGGAACGTAGCTTCCCCACACTGCTGTGGAAGTGGATGGTAGAAGTAAGAACAGCTGTTTCCTTGGGAGTGGGTTGCTGCTGGCCAGACCCTTGGGCTGGGATAAAGACCTTTGAGGGGCAGGTTGTAATAAGTTGAGTTGCTCTGAGTTTGAGTTCTAGAGGTCAGTTCTAAAATATTCCCCCACTTTTTTTTTCAGCACCTGGGTTGTCCCCAGTACAGACAGTGAAGGTTTCTGTGTCTGCAGTCACCCTAGGCCTGGGCTTCATCGTCTTCTGTATTGGTTTGAGGAGGTGGCGGAAGGCTCGGAACTCCAGTGAGTGACCCCCTTGAGCCATTCCTTCCCTGTTTCTTCACCCAGTCTTTGCTGACTTTCTGTCTGTGATTGATGTTCATTCCCACCCCATTTGTTGTGACTAATGCAAGATTACATCATCCACAAAGAATTGCATAATAAAGTATCTTTAATTATCTTTTTCTCCTAGGCTACATCCCTCTCCCTGGATCCAGTTACCCAGAAGGTAACATCCCTGTTGGTCTGTGTGTCACTGGTCCTTCAGAGGGGTAGGGTGTTGTGTTTGGTTGATGGTGCTTATGACAGGGGTGAGCTACCATGAAGATGTAACAAAGGCATCTGTGGTTAGGACTGGGAGGAGTAAAAGGGGAAGAAAGGAGGCTGAACCTCCCATTCCACCCACCAGGACACCTACGGGGGCTGAAGATAGGAAGGCGTTCCCTAGTTGTTGGTAGTTCGGGGTTTTTTTTTATTTTGGAGACAGGGCTTCGCTATGTAGCCCTGGCTGGCCCAGAACTCACAGAGATCTGCCTGCCTCTGCTTCCCAGGTCCTGGCATTAAAGGCATTCACCACTCTGCCTGGTCAAAGATTTATTTTTATTGTTTTTATTTATGTGTATATGTTTGTGTGTGGGTATGTGCATGTGAGTGCAGTGCCTGCAGTAACCAGCAGCAGGTGTCAGATCCCCCTGGAGCTGGAGTTACAGGTGGCTGTTAGCTACTATGTAGGTGCTAGGAACTGAACTCAGGTCCTCTGGAAGAGCAGTAAGTACTCTTAACCACTGAGATGTCTCTCCAGCCCCGTGGCCACATTCCCTGGTGTCTTCAATATCACTATGTGAAGATCTCTGTTATAGGACAGCTATGGAGGCCAGTGATGGGTTATTTGGGTTATTATCACATCATGTACTTTCTCTTTCTCCTTCAGGACGACACTAGAGAGCAGAACCCAACAACTTCCAGTGACGAGGAGATTCAAACTCTTAAGGATGCCTCCATGCTCCCCAACATCTTCTGTATACCCCTATTTTCTTAAAGTTCCTCTACCCAGTTCTTTGAATTTTCCAGTTCCTGTCCCCTCATGTAAATATAAGCAGTTTAGGTGACTCATTTTTGGAGATATTCTGCAGTGAAATTGTCCAGGGCTATACTTCTGGGGTGAACATAATATGAGAAAGGGGTTCAAGGCCCCCCTGAAGGCCCTGTCGTTTTACAGAGCAAGTCACTGATGCTTACTCTTAAAAAAATAAACTGGTGGAATTACTGGTTTTCTACGTGTTTTTCTGGGTCCTTGGGGGAAGGGACCCAGCAGAATGCATCTGAAGTTGAGCTCCTGTGATGTAGCCGGTGACACCTCCCACTTCATCTAGACATAACAGAACTGGAGGCAGTTTTTGAAATTATAATTCATAAGAAATTAAGCTGTAGTGAGATGGAGTTACCTTGTGAGGGAGAGGAAGAGGTCTAACAGTTTACACATCTCATGGGGGGGTCGTTCTTTGTGTGTGTGTGTGTGTGTGTGTGTGTGTGTGTGTGTGTGTGTGTCAGAGGACAATTTGCAGGAGTAAGTTCTCTCTTATCATGTGGGTCCTGGGAATGGAACTCAGGTTGTCAGTCTTGGTTGTAGATACTTTTACACATTGAGCCATCTTGTCAGCCCATAAGGGGCCTTAGGAAGAGTAAATGAATTCAAACCTGTAAAGAGCCAAGAACACACCCAGCATAGAGCGAGCCCACACGGGTGGCCTTAGTTGTTATCAGATATTCAATATTTAGGTTATGTTTTCCATAGCGTAAGTAGGGAAGGAAACACAGCTCTGGGGCTCCACACTGGGCCAGGCACTTTACACTTGTGTTGAGTTCTTTCCTCACAATGACTCGTTAGGAACTGACTGCTCGATTCCCCCGTCATACACCATGGAAGTAAGGAGGACAGAGGACTCAAGTCACTTACCAGAGGCCAAAGAACAAATTCTATCTGGTGTGTGTGTTACCCAATTTAGAAGTCAGCAGATTATTCTGAAAACCCTCCTGTGGATCAGCCCATCTGTTTAGAAGGTCACCCTTCATTCCTTTCCATTCAAAACCCAAGGGACATCCAGGTTGGGCTGCACCCTGTAGAGGGGAGGGGACCTACTGGTGATTTTATTTTCTAGTGGAGACACCTACTGGACTTAGAAAGCTGGTTTATGGAACTTTTTTTGGAATTAGTGTTGAAGTCAACTGCTGGCAAGAAAAAGAAATAAAGATAAATTCGAAAGTCAATTGACCCAACAGGATTGTGGAGGGAGGGTTACGGGTTTGGGACAAATATTTGTATGTGGGCATCTGCACAGGAACTCTTAAGACTAGGAATTCTTGAGTTGGGAGAAGGGATCAGAAGATGGACTATGAACTCTCACCAAGGTAGGTGAGGGTAGGTAGGTGGTGTGGTCATGGGGCCGCCTGTCCCTAGCCTGCTTCTATGCTTAAGGGGCCAGAAGAGTGAGGGGTCTCCTCATCATACAAACTTGATGTCCAAAGCAGTTGCCCACCATTCTTCTCAGAAGATGTATGTGATTAGGGCGTCTCCTCAGGGAAAAGATTATGGAAGAAGTCCATGGGAGCAGAAAGTACTCATTAATTCAAATGTTTCTTCTCTGGGCAGGGCTGGTGCTGGACAGGAAGAAGCAGAGGGATGTGTGTGGGGGAGGTGCTCAGTGAGGGTAGGATCTGAAATTAATTTGCAAAGTTCAAGTTTCCTTCCTTCCTCCTTTCCTCTCTCCTTCCCTCCCTCCCTCTCCTTCCTTCCTTCCTCTCTTCCTCCCTCCCTCCTTCCCTCCTTCTTTCCTTCCTTCCCTCCCTTCCTCCCTCCCTCCTCCCTCCCTTCCTCCTCCCTCCCTCCCTCTCTCCCTCCCTTCCTCTCTTCCTCCCCTCCCTCCTTGCCTTCTTTCCTTCTTTCCTTCCTTCCCTCCCTTTCTCTCTCTCTCTCTCTCTCTCTCTCTCCTCTTTCTTTCTTGAAGCATACATCCTAATGGGAGTGAGGCGTTTTCTCAGTATGGTGTTGATTTGTATTTCTCTAGTGGTCGGTGACACTGGGCGTCTTTCCATGTTGTTGGCATTTTGTGCATCATCATTGGAACTATGTCTGGTGAAATTATTTGGCCACTTTTAAATTGCTTGCTGTTATTGAGCTGTAGAAACTCCTTATATATTCAGGATATACTCTTCACCAGTTATATGGTTTACAAATACTAGAAACTGGCCAACTTGTATAGCGTGATCTTAGAACGTTTTCTCCAGAGTCTCTTACTGGTTTTAATGGTCTGTTATTCCAACCCCTTCTCTCCTTTTCTAAGTAGATAATATTATTTTCAAATACTGAGAGTTTTTCTCCATTCCTTCTAATTCCTAAACTTATCAGTTAGTTTTATTTTTCCATATTATCCACTAGCCTCTCCAGTGCTGTGTTTAGCAGTAGGGTAATAATGAATAACTTAGTATCATTTTTTTTCGTTTTTGAATCTTATGCGTCCTGGGCTGGTCTTGAACTTGTTGTGTAGCCTGGAATGACTTTAAATTCTAGAGCTTCCTGCCTCTAAGTACTGAGTACTAGGATTACGGTATGTACCTCCATGCCTGGCTTGTGCGGTGCTGGGGATTGAACCGAGGGCTTCGTGTACGCTAGGCCAGCACTCTGCCAACTGAGCCATAACTCAGCCCCCTGGGAATCAGTTTTTTTTTTTCAATTTTCTCTGTTAAGTTCAAAATTTCCTGCAGCTTTAAAAAAATTAATGTATCGAGATATTATGGATTCATATGAAATTGTAAAAACCAATTTGAATAGTTCCTGTGTACTGTGCACCCAACTTCTAAAAGCACCATTGTGTTGAACTAGGGTACAAATATCACAGTCAAGGGACACAATGACAGTCAAGCCATAACTCAGCCCCCTGGGAATCAGTTTTTTTTTTTCAATTTTCTCTGTTAAGTTCAAAATTTCCTGCAGCTTTAAAAAAATTAATGTATCGAGATATTATGGATTCATATGAAATTGTAAAAACCAATTTGAATAGTTCCTGTGTACTGTGCACCCAACTTCTAACAGCACCATCGTGTTGAACTAGGGTACAAATATCACAGTCAAGGGACACAATGACAGTCAAGATCCGAAACATTCCTAAGGTCAAGAGGACTTTTCACACTGCCCTCTTCCTATCACACACCTCCCTACACCACACACCTCCCTACACCACACACCCTCCTTAAAGTGCAGCAGTTGCTAATGCGTTCCCCATTTCTATAATGTTATCGTTTCAAGACAAAAGAATTCTAAAATGGAAACCTGCATGTAACTTCAGAATTGGTTTGTTTCTCTCAGAGTAGTTCTTCAAGAATCGCACAAGGTTGTTGCATATGTCAATGATTGTATTCTTTACATTTCTTTATTTTGTGTGTGTGTGTGTGTTCATGCACATGCATGTGTGAGTACCATGCCACACAATGTATGTGGAGGTAAGTGAACAACTTGTAGGAGCTGGTACTCTCCTTCTACCAGTGGGGCCTGGATGTCGGACTCAGGTCATCAGGCTTGGTGGGAAATACCGTTATCCACTGAGCCATCTTATTGCTGATCCCACTCTGTGTTAGGCCTATGTCCCAGTTAGTTTAGCTATGCACCCAGTGAAGACTTTTGGGCTATTTTCATGTTCTTGAAGAACATGAACAAAGATGCTAAACTTGGGCTGTGGAGATGGCTCAGCAGTTGCTCTAGCAGAGGACCTGAGTTCAATTCCTAACACCCATATTGGGCGGCTCACATCTGCCTGTAACTCCAGCTCCAAGGGGATCCAATGCCTCTGGCCTCCGTGGGCACTTGTAATTGTGTGCACGTGTCCACACATACACATAATTAAGAAAAACTTTTAAAAAAGTTACTGGACAGAATTGCTTTTTGCTCTGGAAAAAAACGTGTTGTTGAATTCTTGTATACCCCTGCCATCCAGTTCTATGAATCATTGGCAAGAGTTATGTTGAAATCTTCAATTATAACTGCGGGGTTAGCTATTTGTTCAATAGTGTGCTGATTATTTTTTCCAACTTGACACAGATAAAACACATGCGGGAAGAGGGACCTGAACTGAAGCATTTCCTCCTTTAGACTGACCTGTGGGCATGTCTGTGGGGCATTTTCTTAATTGATGTAGGCGGGCCCAGGCCACTGTGGGCAGTGCCATTCCTGTGTGGGTGGGCCTCAGCTATCTAAGAAAGGTAGCTGAGCAAACCAAGGGGAAGCAAGCCAGTCAGTAGCGTTCACCATGGTCTCTGCTTCAGCTCCTGCCTTCAGTTTCCACCCTTGAGCTCCTGAGGTTCTGGCTTTCCTTGACGGTGGATTGTAACCCTATAAATCAAATAAACCCTTTTCTCCCAAGTTACTTTTGGTCACTGTTTATCACAACAACAGAAACCAAACTAGACTACGTATTTTTTATTTATTTATTTTTGGTCTTATTGTGACAGGGTCTCCCTGCAGCCCCAGCTGGCCTGGAATTCGCTATGTAGACCAGGCTGGCCTTGAACTCACAGAGATCCATCTGTCTCTGCCTTCCAGATACTTGGATTAAGGGTGTGTGCCACCTACGATGCTCAGCATTACCCACGATTTAGAAAAATATTTTTTAATTATTTTTAACTATGTGTATTTTTGTGTATCTGTGTGTGGGTATGTGCATGTGAGTGTGGGTGCCTACAGAGGTCAGAAGATGGCATTGGATTCCCTGAAGCTGGAGTTACAGGTAGTTGTGTGCTGCCTGGCATGGTTGCTGGGAACTGAACTCAGGTCCTGTGTAAGAGCAGTATGTGTTTCTAACCACTGAGCAATCTGCCTAGTCCTATTATCCAAGATTTTTAGAAAAAGATGAAACATGAATAGATCTTGAAATTTAAGAAATAGTTTTCTGTGATTTATTGCTTATTTTCCTTTTCTTAAAAAGATTTATTTTAATTAATTTATACACTTTATTTTATGTATATGAATGTTCACCTCTGTATTAGGGTTCTCCAAAGAAAGAGAACCAGTAGAATGAATATATATGTATAGAGATTTATCAGCTTAGCTCACAGGATAGAGTCCAAGTAGTCCAACAACAGCTGCACCACACTGGAGAGGCTGAGACTCCATAGTCGCTCAGTCCACGAGGCTGGATGTTTTAGTAATTCCAATGTGGCACTGAAGGTCTGACGAATTCCAAAAGATCAGCTAGTCTTCAGTCTACAG